TGTAGCAAATTTAGTTCTTAACAATGTTGCTCTTTTACACTTTTACTCCCAGAAGCATAGAAATCGAGAAAAATTCGAAATTCAATTAGATGAAATCGTCGTTTTAGATCTTGTTGGTAGAGGATGAATCAGAAATTCGGAACGTGTTAGAAAAAAAGTTTTAATATAAAAGTTGTAGCAAATTTAATTCTTAACAATATCACTCTTTAACACTTTTACTCTCAGAAGCATAGAAATCGAGAAAAAATCGAAATTCAATTAAATCAAAAATCGTCGTTTTGGATCTTGTTGGTGGAGGATGAATCAGAAATTCGGAACGTGTCAGAAAAAAAATTTTAGTATAAAAGTTGTAGCAAATTTAATTCTTAACAATATCACTCTTTTACACTTTTACTCCCAGAAGCATAGAAATCGAGAAAAAATCGAAATTCAATTAGATGAAATCGTCGTTTTGGATCTTGTTGGTATAGGATGAATCAGAAATTCGGAACGTGTCAGAAAAAAAGTTTTAGTATAAAAGTTGTAGCAAATTTAATTTTTAACAATATTGCTCTATTACACTTTTGCTCTCAGAAGCATAGAAATGGAGAAAGAAACGAAATTCAATTAGGTGAAATCGTGATTTTGGATCTTGTTGGTAGAGAATGAATCAGAAATTCGGAACGTGTCAGAAAAAAAGTTTTAATATAAAAGTTGTAGCAAATTTAATTCTTAATAATATCACTCTTTTACACTTTTTCTCCCAGAAGCATAGAAATCGAGAAAAAATCGAAATTCAATTAGATAAAATCGAGGTTTTGCATCATTTTGGTAGAGGACGAATCAGAAAATCGGAACGTTTTAGAAAAGAAGTTTTAGTATAAAAGTCGTAGCAAATTTAGTTCTTAACAATGTTGCTCTTTTACACTTTTACTCCCAGAGGCATAGATATCGAGGAAAATAGCTAAATGTGAAAATTAAATAAATTCGTGGTTTTACCTATTGTTGATGATAGTTAATGTTCGAGATTCCAGGCATATTATAAAAAAACTTGTAGAACAAAAGTTGTAGCAAATTTAATTCTTACCAATATCACTCTTTTACACTTTTACTCTCAGAAGCATAGAAATCGAGAAAAAATCGAAATTCAATTAGATCAAAAATCGTGATTTTGGATCTTGTTGGTAGAGGATGAATCATAAATTCGGAACGTGTCAGAAAAAAAGTTTTAATATAAAAGTTGTAGCAAATTTAATTCTTAACAAAATCACTCTTTTACACTTTTCCTCTCAGATGCATAGAAATCGAGAAAAATTCGAAATTCAATTAGAGGAAATCGTGATTTTGCATCTTGTTGGTAGAGGTTGAATCAGAAATTCGGAACGTGTCAGAAAAAATGTTTTATTATAAAAGTTGCAGCTAATTTAATGCTTAACAAAATCGCTCTTTTACACTTTTCCTCCCAAATGCATAGAAATCGAGAAAAATTCGAAATTCAATTAGATGAAATCGTGATTTTGGATCTTGTTGGTAGAGGATGAATCACAAATTCGGAACGTGTCAGAAAAAAAGATTTAATATAAAAGTTGTAGCAAATTTAATTCTTAACAATATTGCTCTATTACACTTTTGCTCTCAGAAGCATAGAAATGGAGAAAAAAACGAAATTCAATTAGGTGAAATCGTGATTTTGGATCTTGTTGGTAGAGAATGAATCAGAAATTCGGAACGTGTCAGAAAAAAAGTTTTAATATAAAAGTTGTAGCAAATTTAATTCTTAATAATATCACTCTTTTACACTTTTTCTCCCAGAAGCATAGAAATCGAGAAAAATTCGAAATTCAATTAGATAAAATCGAGGTTTTGCTTCATTTTGCTAGAGGACGAATCAGAAAATCGGAACGTTTTAGAAAAAAAGTTTTAGTATAAAAGTTGTAGCAAATTTAGTTCTTAACAATGTTGCTCTTTTACACTTTTACTCCCAGAAGCATAGATATCGAGGAAAATAGCTAAATGTGAAAAATAAATCCGTGGTTCCAGGCATATTATAAAAAAACTTGTAGAACAAAAGTTGTAGCAAATTTTATACTTAGCAATATTGCTCTCTTCTACTTTTGCTCTCAGATGCATAGATATCGAGAAAAATATGAAAATTAGACTAATTCGTGTTTTTGGATCCCGTTTTTTTTTATCAAGTCTAGTAGCGGGATGAATATTTTGAAAAATATCGTTATCTGTCCGTCAAAGTTGAGTGTAGACCAATCATACTATACCAATTTATTTAAATTTTTTTTATAAAATCCAAGATTTTGGACAACAAATGATACATAAATATTATGATAGATAATTAAGAAACATGCAAAATGAGTCCAAACTCGACATATCTAAGTAGATATCTTTGTTTTTATAAAATCAAGATGGCCGAAAACAAAACACAATTATTTGTGTCATTTATGCTTTTAAAACTGAATGTTATGGTAAATATGGGATGTGGCGCATCAAACTAGGTTACAATTTTCTGATTTTGACCAAAATCTAAGTTTCTTTTAATGAAATTAAATATTTTTGTAATTTAAGATTGCCGAAAAGAAGCTAGGAATTGTTTCTTTATTAATATATGATATTCTTGAATAATAAATTAGACAATTTCTTCTTTAATAATTTCTTTCTAGAAATTTCAATAATATTATATTATAATTTTTATACGATATCATAAACTAGAATCTTTAAGCTACAATTTAACACACATATCATATCATTATTCATAATAATATAGTAGATATGATTTTTTTTATATTTCATTAATTCTTGATTAATAAATTAGACAATTTCCTCTTTAATAATTTTTTTCTGGAAATTTCAATAATATTATCTTATAATTTTTATATGATATCATAAACTAGAACCTTTAAACTACAATTTAACATACATATCATTATTCATAAAAATATAGTAGATATGATTTTTTTTATATTTCATTAATTCTTGATTAATAAATTAGACAATTTCCTCTTTAATAATTTTTTCTGGAAATTTCAATAACATTACCTTGTAATTTTTATGTGATATCATAAACTAGAATCTTTAAGCTACAATTTAACATACATATCATATCATTATTCATAAAAATACAGTAGTTATGATTTTTTGAACATTTTGTATTGTTTTTGATTAATAATTTAGACAATTTCTTCTTTAATAATTTTTTTTTTAAATTCAATGATATCATCTTACAGTTTCTATATCACATCATAAACTGGAATCTTTAAGCTTCAATTTAAGATACATATCACATCATTCTTCATAAAAATACAGTAGATATTTTTTTTTGAAAATTTCTCTTTTATTCATAAAATTGACAGTTTCTTCTTTAATAATTTTTTCTTAAAAATTTCAATAATATCATCTTACAGTTTCTATATCACATCATAAACTAGAATCTTTAAGCTTCAATTTAACATACATATCACATCATTATTCATAAAAATACAGTAGATATGATTTTTTGAAAATATCTCTTTTATTTATAAATTTAACAATTTCTTCTTCAATAATTTTTTCCTGGAAATTTCAATAATATTATATTACAATTTTCATATCAAATCATAAACTAGAATCTTCAAGCTTTAATCTAACATATATTTCATATCATTATATATAAAAATATAGAAAATATGATTTTTTGAAAATTTCTCTTTTATTTATAAATTTGATAATTTCTTCTTCAATAATTTTTTCCTAATAATTTCAATAATATCATATTACAATTTTCATATCACATCATAAACTAGAATCTTCAAGCTTTAATTTAGCAATATTTCATATCATTATACATAAAAATATAGAAAATATGATTTTTTTTTAATTTCTTTTTTATTTATAAATTTGACAATTTCTTCTTCAATAATTTTTTCCAAAAAATTTCAATAATATCATATTACAATTTTCATATCATATCTTAAAGTAGAATCTTCAAGATTTAATTTAACACATATTTCATATCATTATACATAAAAATACAGTAGATATGATTTTTTGAAAATTTCTCTTTTATTTATAAATTTGACAATTTCTTCTTCAATAATTTTTTCCTGAAAATTTCAATAATATCATGTTACAATTTTCATATCATATCATAAACTAGAATCATCAAGCTTTAATTTAATACTTATTTCGTATCATTATACATAAAAATATAGAAAATATGATTTCTTGAAAATTTCTCTTTTATTTATAAATTTGACAATTTCTTCTCCAATAATTTTTTCCTGAAAATTTCAATAATATCATATTACAATTTTCATATCATATCATAAACTTGAATCTTCAAGCTTTAATTTAGCATATATTTCATATCATTATACATAAAAATAAAGAAAATATGATTTTTTGAAAATTTCTCTTTTATTTATAAATTTGACAATTTCTTCTTCAATAATTTTTTTCTAATAATTTCAATAATATCATATTACAATTTTCATATCACATCATAAACTAGAATCTTCACGCTTTAATTTAACATATATTTCATATCATTATACATAAAAATATAGAAAATATGATTTTTTGAAAATTTCTCTTTTATTTATAAATTTGACAACTTCTTCTTTAACAATTTTTTCCTGAAAATTTCAATAATATTATCTTACAATTTTTATGTCATATCATAAACTAGAATCTTCAAGCTTTAATTTAACACATATTTCATATCTTTATTCATAAAAATACAATAGATATGATTTTTTGAAATTTCAAGGTTAATATTTCTTTATTAAGCAGCATTTTTGTTGTGTAACTTTCATGTTATTACGGTCATAATATTATTTTTTTTTCCTTCCCAACAAAAACTTTTTTATTAAACCTTTTCGATTAAAATTAAACTCAAAACTCAAATACGATAATCCAGTTTAATCTCATATCTGTAATAAATACCTCGTTAGATTCGATAAATGGCACAATTTATTGTCATCGTGTTATCTAGATAACGAATTCTTTACATTTCTACAACTTTATCATTATCACTCTGTACAGGTGCGAGTTTAGTTGAGTTTGTTTGTTTGAGAGAGCTGATTTTGAGGTGCTAAAAATTTATAACCAACCCAACTCGAGTTATTATATTACGTAGATTATTCGTAGTCATGTGATTGTTGTTCTTTAACTCATATGACCATCTTTTAGGCTCAGTTCTACATCATTCTTCCATTAAGATAGTCGGAAATACATCAAAGTCGATTTAAACCAATTAATTAAACAAAAGTAAGGTAAGATTTTAATTTAAAAGTGAGTTTAAAAATTTTAAAATTTGTTTAGATTTAAAATGCTCTACTTGAGTTACTTTAGGCTAGGCTATTATTATATTTCCATCGTTTACCTTTTAATTTAATAATCACCTTTTGATCTTTAAAATTATTTTTAGACACTCGCTCAAAGAAGAGATCTGTTTAAAAAAAAATCACATGAAATTCGTCTTTTTAACTTTATATTAAATTAAAATCACGTGATGCTTTTGCTCACCTTTGTACATATTAATTTGTTTTATTTGATTAAAAATTAAATCTCATCTAAATTGCAACTTTTTTTAAGGGATAAATCGATTAGATTTATAGATAAATAGAAATTAATTAATTTTTAAATTAATGTATATTGGGTTGCATAGCTTTAAATTGCTAAAAACTACATACAGGTGTCTCAAAAGTCAGGAATAAAAGATAAATTCGCTAAAAAAAAAATGTTTCAAATAAACGTTGTTTAAAATTACATCCTTAACAAATTATCTTAATACATTTTTTTGATATTTCCATTTAATAAGGATCTACACTGATACACTAATTTACAATAAATGGTTATATCGAAAAATGTTTCAAATAAAAGTTATTTTGAATCACATTCTCAACAAATTATCTTAATAAAATTTTTTGATATTTCCTTTAAATAAGGATCTACACTGAATCACTAATTTGCAATAAATGGTTATATCGAAAAATGTTTCAAATAAAAGTTGTTTAAAATTACATCCTTAACAAATTATCTTAATAAAATTTGTTGATATTTTCAATAAATAAGGGTCTACACTGAATCACTCACTAATTTACAAAAAATAGTTAAATCGAAAAATGTTTCAAATAAAAGTTGTTTAAAATTACATTCTTAACAAATTATCTTAATAAAATTTTTTGATATTTCCATTAAATAAGGATCTACACTGAATCACTAATTTACAATAAATGGTTATATCGAAAAATGTTTCAAATAAAAGTTGTTTAAAATTACATTCTTAACAAATTATCTTAATAACATTTTTTGATATTTTCATTTTTTTTAACTTTATATTAAACTCACGTGATGTTGTTTGCTCACCTTTGTACATATTAATTTGTCATATTTAATTAAAAATTAAATATCTAAATTGCAACGGTTTTAAAGGAGTCGATAAAACGATTAGATTTGTCGATAGATAGATATTAATCGGTTCTTAAATTATAAAAATTAATTAATTTTTAAAGTGAAGGTAAGCAAAATTAGTGTATGTTGGGTGGCATAACTTTAAATTGCTTAAATATATATAAATATAATATAAATTAACCATACGAAGTACTGAGATAATAAGATTGTGATTGTTGTTATAAACGATAAGAAAATTTTATTACAAAATTTTCAATAAATCATATCTACTGTATTTTTATGAATAAAGATATGATATGTGTGTTAAATTATAGCTTAAAGATTCTAGTTTATGATATCATATAAATATTATAAGATAATATTATTGAAATTTCCAGAAAAAAATTATTAAAGGGGAAATTGTCTAATTTATTAATCAAGAATTAACGGAATTTTCAAAAAAGCAATGTCCAAATTGGGTCGAATTTGCCAAAAATTCCTAGTTACACAAGATGCTAATGGAATAATATTATGTCATACATTTCATATCATATCAGAAACTAGAATCTTTAAGCTTCACTCTGACACCCATATCATATGATTATTCATAAAAATACAGAAGATATGATTTTTTGGAAATTTTTCTAATTTCTCTATTTCATCTAATTGAATTTCGAATTTTTCTCGATTTCTATGCTTCTGGAAGAAAATGTGTAAAAGAGTGATATTGTTACGAATTAAATTTGCTACAACTTTTATATTAAAACTTTTTTTCTGACACGTTCCAATTTTCTGATTCGTCCTCTAACAAAATGATCCAAAATCACGATTTCATCTAATCGAATTTCGAATTTTCCTCGATTTCTATGCATCTGGGGGTAAAAGTGTAAAAGAGTGATATTGTTACGAATTAAATTTGCTACAACTTTTATATTAAAACTTTTTTTCTGACACGTTCCAATTTTCTGATTCGTCCTCTAACAAAATGATCCAAAATCACGATTTCATCTAATCGAATTTCGAATTTTCCTCGATTTCTATGCATCTGGGGGTAAAAGTGTAAAAGAGTGATATTGTTACGAATTAAATTTGCTACAACTTTTATATTAAAACTTTTTTTCTGACACGTTCCAATTTTCTGATTCGTCCTCTAACAAAATGATCCAAAATCACGATTTCATCTAATCGAATTTCGAATTTTCCTCGATTTCTATGCATCTGGGGGTAAAAGTGTAAAAGAGTGATATTGTTACGAATTAAATTTGCTACAACTTTTATATTAAAACTTTTTTTCTGACACGTTCCAATTTTCTGATTCGTCCTCTAACAAAATGATCCAAAATCACGATTTCATCTAATCGAATTTCGAATTTTCCTCGATTTCTATGCATCTGGGGGTAAAAGTGTAAAAGAGTGATATTGTTACGAATTAAATTTGCTACAACTTTTATATTAAAACTTTTTTTCTGACACGTTCCAATTTTCTGATTCGTCCTCTAACAAAATGATCCAAAATCACGATTTCATCTAATCGAATTTCGAATTTTCCTCGATTTCTATGCATCTGGGGGTAAAAGTGTAAAAGAGTGATTTTGTTAAGAATTAAATTTGCTACAACTAATTATATTAAAACTTTTTTTCTGACACGTTCCAATTTTCTGATTCGTCCTCTACCAACAAGATCCAAAATCACGATTTCATCTAATGGAATTTTGAATTTTTCTCGATTTCTATGCTTCTGGGAGAAAAAGTGTAAAAGAGTGATTTTGTTAAGAATTAAATTTGCTACAACTTTTATACTAAAACTTTTTCTGACACGTTCCAATTTTCTGATTCGTCCTCTACCAAAGTGATCCAAAACCACGATTTCATCTAATTGAATTTTGAATTTTTCTCGATTTATATGCATCTGGAAGTAAAAGTGTAACAGTGCAAAATTGTTAAGAATTAAGTTTGCTACAACTTTTATACTAAAACTTTTTCTGACACGTTCCAATTTTCTGATTCGTCCTCTACCAAAATGATCCAAAATCACGATTTCATCTAATTGAATTTTGAATTTTTCTCGATTTCTATGCATCTGGAAGTAAAAGTGTAAAAGAGCAAAATTGTTAGGAATTAAATTTGCTACAACTTTTATACTAAAACTTTTTTTTTGACACGTTCCAATTTTCTGATTCGTCCTCTACCAAAATGATCGAAAACCACGATTTCATCTAATTGAATTTTAAATTTTTCTCGATTTCTATGCATCTGGAAGTAAAAGTGTAAAAGAGCAAAATTGTTAGGAATTAAATTAGCTACAACTTTTATACTAAAACTTTTTTTCTGACACGTTCCAATTTTCTGATTCGTCCTCTACCAAAATGATCCAAAACCACGATTTCATCTAATTGAATTTTGAATTTTTCTCGATTTCTATGCATCTGGAAGTAAAAGTGTAAAAGAGCAAAATTGTTAGGAATTAAGTTTGCTACAACTTTTATACTAAAACTTTTTTTCTGACACGTTCCAACTTTCTGATTCGTCCTCTACCAAAATGATCCAAAATCACGATTTCATCTAATTGAATTTCGAATTTTTCTCGATTTCTATGCTTCTGGGAGAAAAAGTGTAAAAGAGTGATATTGGTAAGAATTAGATTTGCTACAACTTTTATATGAAAACTTTTTTTCTAACACGTCCCGATTTTCTGATTCGTCCTATAGCTACAAGATCCAAAACCTCGGTTTTATCGAATTGAATTTTGCATTTTTCTCGATTTCTATGCTTCTGGCAGTAAAAGTGTAAAAGAGCAAAGTTGTTAAGAATCAAATTTGCTACAACTTTTATCTTAACATTTTTTTTCTGACACGTTCCAATTTTCTGATTCGTCCTCTACCCACAAGATCCGAAAATACGATTGAATTTTTCTCGATTTCTATGCATCTGGACGTAAAAGTATAAGAGAGCGATTTTGTTAAGGATTAAATTTGCTACAACTTTTATACTAAAATTTTTCATTTTTTCGTTTTAGGTAAGCCATGGGGGCCATGTTTCGCAGTGAAGAGATGGCTTTAGCCCAACTCTTCATCCAACCAGAAGCTGCTTACCAATCCATCTCCGAATTAGGCGAAACCGGGACTGTTCAATTTCGAGATGTAACTACACCTAAATAATAACTCATTTATTATTTTTGACACGTACAAATTCTTTTTTTCAAGTTAAACGAGGAAGTGAGTGCTTTCCAAAGGAAATTCGTCGGGGAGGTTCGTCGTTGCGACGAAATGGAGCGGAAACTTCGCTACATTGAGGCAGAAGTGCGCAAAGACGATGTCCCAATCCCAGACGTCAAAGAGCTACCAAAAGCTCCAAACCCCCGAGAAATAATTGACTTGGAAGCGCATTTAGAGAAGACAGAAGGTGATATTCGCGAGTTAAGCGAAAGCGCGGTCAAATTAAAATCGAATTACTTGGAATTGGCCGAATATAAGCACGTTTTGGAGAAAACCCAATCATTTTTCATCGAACAAGAAGAAGCCAATGGCATGGACACAGCTCACAAATCATTAATCCCAGAAGACAACCAAGGGGCTACATCTCGAGGTCGATTAGGATTCGTAGCTGGAGTAGTTAATCGCGAAAGAGTACCAGCTTTTGAAAGAATGTTGTGGAGAATTTCCAGAGGGAACGTTTTTTTGAGACAAGCCGAGATTGAGAAAGCTCTGGAAGACCCAGCGACCGGAAATGAAATCAAAAAAACCGTTTTTGTCGCTTTCTTTCAAGGGGAGCAACTAAAAAGTCGTATTACTAAAGTTTGTGCTGGATTTCATGCCTCTATATATCAATGTCCAAGTTCCAGTGGGGAACGAAACGAGACTTTGCAGAACGTTAAGACGCAAATTGAGGATTTAAATTTGGTTCTGAATCAAACTGCGGATCATCGCAATCGAGTTTTGGTCACGGTGGCTAAAGATTTGCAAAATTGGAGCATCATGGTGAGGAAAATGAAGGCGATTTATCATACGTTGAATATGTTCAATATGGATGTTACTAAGAAGTGTTTAATTGGGGAATGTTGGGTTCCTGTTCATGATATTCCCATTGTGCAGAAAGCCCTTCAAGATGGATCTGTAAGTATTAATTATTTGCTAAATCTGAAAAAGATTTTGAAAGAGATTTGTTTTAAATTGAAGCTTAAAGATTTCTCTTTAAAATGGTTTGTAATAAGTGTTGGGTTGGATTGGAAAAATATTGAAAAAATTTTTGAAGCAAAACTTGTTTTACTACCAGCTAATGGTAATACTTGGAAATCGAAGCATGTTATTAAAAAACTTTTAGAACAAAAGTTGTTGCAAATTTTATTCTTAACAATATTGCTCTTTTGTATATTTGCTCTCAGATGCGTCAATATTGAGAAAAATACGAAAATTTAAAAATTTGATGAATTTTCTTGTTTTACTATTAGCTAATGGTAACATTTGGAAATCGGAGCATGTTATCAAAAAATTTTTAGAACAAAAGTTGTTGCAAATTTTATTATTAATTTGATATATTTGCTCTTAGATGCGTCAATATTGAGAAAAATACGAAAATTTAAAAAATTGACGAAATTTCTTGTTTTACTCTTAGCTAATGGTAACATTTGGAAATCGGAGCATATTATCAAAAAACTTTTAAAACAAAAGTTGTAGCAAATTTTATTCTTAACAGTATTGCTCTGTTGTATATTTGCTCTCAGATAGGTCAATATTGAGAAAAATATGAAAATTTAGAAATTTGATGAATTTTCTTGTTTTACTATTAGCTAATGGTAACATTCGGGAATTGAAGCGTTATCAAAAAACTTTTAGAACAAAAGTTGTTGCAAATTTTATTATTAACAATATGGCTCTCTTATATATTTGCTCTCAGATACGTCAATATCGAGAAAAATACGAAAATATGAAATTTTGATGAATTTCGTTGTTCTACAAACTGTTAATGGTAACACTTGGAAATCGGAGCATATTATCAAAAAACTTTTAAAACACAAGATGTAGCAAATTTTATTCTTAACAGTATTGCTTTGTTGTATATTTGCTCTCAGATTCTATCAATATTGAGAAAAATATGAAAATTTAGAAATTTGATGAATTTTCTTGTTTTACTGTTAGCTAATGGTAACATTCGGGAATCGAAGCATGTTATCAAAAAACTTTTAGAACAAAAGTTGTGGCAAAATTTATTCTTAACAATATCACTCTCTTGTATATTTGCTCTCAGATGCGTCAACATTCACAAAAATTTAAAAATATGATAAATTATGATGAATTTCCTTGTTTTACTATTAGCTAAGGGTAACATTCGGAAATCGAAGCATGTTATCAAAAAATTTTTAGAACAAAAGTTGCAAATTTTGTTATTAACAATATTGCTCTCTTGTATATTTGCTCTCAGATTCGTCAATATCGAGAAAAATAAGAAAATTTGGAAATATGATGAATTTCTTGTTTTACTATTAGCTAATGGTAACATTCGGGAATCGAAGCATGCTACAAAAAACTGATGTAACAAAAGTTGTGGCAAAATTTTTTCTTTACAATATTGTTCTCTTTCACTTTTACTCTCAGATGCGTCAATATCGAGAAAACACAAAAATGTGAAAATTTATTATATTTTATTGTTTACTTGCTCTTAATGGTGACATTTGGGAATCGGAGCATGTTATCAAAAAACTTTTATAACAAAAGTTGTAGCAAAATTTATTCTTAACAATGTTGCTCTGTTGTATATTTGCTCTCAGATTCGTCAACATTGAGAAAAATACGAAAATATTAAAATTTGATGAATTTCGTTGTTTTGCTATTAGCTAATGGTAACATTTGGAAATCGGAGCACGTTATAAACAATATCGCTCTCTTGTATATTTGCTCTTAGATACGTCAATATCGAGATAAATACGAAAATATGAACTTTTGATAAAATTCGTTGTTCTACAAATTGTTAATGGTGACACTTCTAAATTGGAGCAAGTCATAAAAAAACTTTTGGAACGAAAGTTATAGGTAATCTTATGCTTAACAATATTGCTCTCTTGTATATTTGCTCTCAGATGCATCCATATCGAGAAAACACACAAACGCGAATATTTAATAAATTTTGTTTTTTACTTGCTCTTAATGGTGACATTTTGGAATCGAAGTATGTTATCAAAAAAGTGTTATAACAAAAGTTGTAGCAAATTTTATTCTTAACAATATTGCTCTCTTGTGTATTTGCTCTCAGATAGGTCAATATTGAGAAAAATACAAAAATTTAAGAATTTGATGAATTTCCTTGTTTTACTATCAGGTAATAGTAACATTCGGGAATCGAAGCATGTTACAAAAAAACTTTTATAACAAAAGTTGTAGCAAATTTTATTCTTAACAATATTGCTCTCTTGTATATTTGCTCTCAGATGCGTCAATATTGAGAAAAATAGGAAAATTTAAAAATTTGATGAATTTTTTGTTTTACTATAAGCTAATGGTAACATTTGGAAATCGAAGCATGTTATCAGAAAACTTTTAGAACAAAAGTTGTTGCAAATTTTGTTATTAACAATATTGTTCTCTTTCATTTTTGCTCTCAGATGCGTCAATATCGAGAAAACACAAAAATGCGAAAATTTAATGAATTTTGTTGTTTTACTTGCTCTTAATGGTAAGATTTGGAAATCGGAGCATGTTATCAAAAAATTTTTATAAGAAAAGTTGTAGCAAATTTTATTCTTAACAATATTGCTATGTTGTATATTTGCTCTCAGATACGTCAATTTCGAAAAAAATACGAAAATATGAAAATTGGATGAATTTATTGCATTTATAGCATAATGGTATAAGTTGGGATACGGAGCATATTACATAAAAACTTTTCAAACAATAGTTATAGCAAATTTTATACTTAACAATATTGTTCTCTTTCATTTTTGCTCTCAGATGCGTCAATATCGAGAGAAATACGAAAATTTGATAAATTTCCTCGTTTTATTATTAGCTAATGGTAACATTCGGGAATCGAAGCATGTTATCAAAAAACTTTAAGAACAAAAGTTGTTGCAAAATTTATTCTTAACAATATTGTTCTCTTTCACTTTTGCTCCCAGATGCGTCAATATCGAGAAAACACAAAAATGCGAAAATTTAATGGATTTTGTTGTTTTACTTGCTCTTAATGGTAGCATTTGGGAATCGGGGCATGTTATCAAAAAAGTTTTATAAGAAAAGTTGTAGCAAAGTTTATTCTTAACAATATTGCTCTCTTGTATTTTTGCTCTCAGATGCATCAATATTGAGAAAATTACGAAAATTTGAAAATTTAATGAATTTCCTCGTTTTACTATTATCTAATGGTAACATTCGGGAATCGAAGCATGTTATCATAAAACTTTTAGAACAAAAGTTGTGGCAAAATTTATTCTTAACAATATCACTCTCTTGTATATTTGCTCTCAGATGCGTCAACATTCACAAAAATTTAAAAATATGATAAATTTTTTATTTTATTATTAGCTAATGGTAACATTCGGGAATCAAAGCAAGTTATCAAAAAATTTTAGAACAAAAGTTGTTGCAAATTTTGTTATTAACAATATCACTCTGTTATATTTTTGTTATCAGATGCGTCAATATTGAGGAAAATTAAAAATTTGATGAATTTGCTTATTTTAGTATTAGCTAATGGTAACATTCGGGAAACAAAGCAGGTTATCAAAAAACTTTTAGAACAAAAGTTGTTACAAATTTTGTTCTTAACAATATCGCTTTCTTTCATTTTTGTTATCAGATGCGTCAATATCGAAGAAAACACGAAAATATGAAACCCCAATATTTTTTTAATCCAATCTCAAATTCTATACTGCACGTCGCCCCTTTTTTAACCCACACAACAAAATTAAGACGCGACTTCGCTTAAACACAACCTAATCACCCAATTTAATCAATTTTAGAGCGCCGGGGGAAGCTCCATCGCCTCATTTTTAAACGTAATCGACACAAATGAGCAACCACCAACATTTAACCGCACGAATAAATTCACCAGAGGATTCCAGAACTTAATCGATTCTTATGGAGTTGCATCTTACAGAGAAGTTAATCCAGGTTGGTTCAAATTTATTAAAGTTTATTATTTAATTATAATTGGTTCTTTTTTATTAATTATAGCTTTATATACAATAATAACTTTCCCATTTCTTTTCGCAATTATGTTCGGCGACGTCGGGCATGGTTTTATCTTATTCCTCTTCGGATTATACATGGTCTTGTACGAAAAGAGACACATGGGGGCGAAAAGTTCGAGCGAAATTTGGAACATCTTCTTCGCAGGTCGTTATATCATCGTTTTGATGGGGTTATTCTCGATTTACACCGGAATTATGTACAATGATATATTCTCGCGTACCATGAATATTTTTGGATCAAGTTGGAGGGTAAATACGAATTTTTCAACGCTAAACGAAAGCGAAGAGATCCAATTAAACCCAACGTACGATTACACCGGAACTCCTTACTTCTTCGGTGTGGACCCAGCTTGGATGTTGGCCAAAAACAAAATCATCTTTTTGAACTCGTACAAAATGAAATTATCGATTATCTTTGGAGTTTTCCACATGATGTTTGGAGTTTGTATGAGTGTTGTTAATTTTGCGCATTTTCGTAAGATGGAAAATTTCTTCTTCATGTTTTTGCCACAAATTATCTTCTTGATGCTGCTATTTTTATGGATGGTTGTTATGATGTTCTTGAAATGGATCCTTTATGACGCAAATTATACCACCGAAACGCAATTTGGGTCAAGTTGTGCACCCTCAGTTCTAATCTTATTCATCAATATGATGCTGTTTAAAGCTGATGACCCAGAACCTGGGTGTAAAGAGTTCATGTTCGAGGGCCAAGACACTCTGCAGATGGTTTTCGTGATAATCGCCGTCCTCTGCATCCCTGTCATGCTATTAGGGAAGCCAATTTACGTCATGATGAAAAGGAACAACAAGGGGAAACACGTAAGAGGATACGTAAGCTTATTTTTTGTGCGCGTCCTTGCATAAAGTTGATTTTTTTTTAAATTAAAGAGCAACTTTCCAGCTTTAATTTGGTACATAACTCGTTTCTTCGATTCTATTAGTTATTAAGTTATGATTTTTTTTTGATTGAGTTGTGATTAAGAATTGCCAAATGTAGCATTAACTTTAAAAAAACATAACTTAATAACTAATAAAATCGAAGAAACGAGTTATGCATCAAATTAAAAAGGGAACTTTAAGCTTTAATTTGGTACATAACTCGTTTCTTCGATTCTATTAGTTATTAAGTTATGATTTTTTTTTATTGAGTTATAATTAAGAATTACCAAATGCAGCATTAACTTTAAAAAATCATAACTTAATAACTAATAAAATCGAAGAAACGAGTTACGCATCAAATTAAAAAGGGAACTTTAAGCTTTAATTTGGTACATAACTCGTTTCTTCGATTCTATTAGTTATTAAGTTATGATTTTTTTTTATTGAGTTATAATTAAGAATTACCAAATGCAGCATTAACTTTAAAAAATCATAACTTAATAACTAATAAAATCGAAGAAACGAGTTACGCATCAAATTAAAAAGGGAACTTTAAGCTTTAATTTGGTACATAACTCGTTTCTTCGATTCTATTAGTTATTAAGTTATGATTTTTTTTTATTGAGTTATAATTAAGAATTACCAAATGCAGCATTAACTTTAAAAAATCATAACTTAATAACTAATAAAATCGAAGAAACGAGTTATACATCAAATTAAAAGAGAAACTTTAAGCTTTAATTTGATATATAACTCGTTTTCTTGTCACCATAAATAAAGCTAGAATGATTTTTTAAAGTTAATGCTATATTTGGAAATTCTCAATTTTTAACTAATTTTAAAAAAATCGTAATTTAATAATTAATAGAATCCAAGAAACGAGTTATATATCAAATTAAAAAGGAAACTTTAAGCTTTAATTTGATACATAACTCGTTTCTTCGACTCTTTTAATTATTAAGTTATGATTTTTTAAAGTTAAAGCTGCATTTGGAAATTCTCAATTACAACTCAATTTTTAACTAATTTAAAAAAATCGTAACTTAATGATTAATAAAATCGAGGAAACGAGTTATGCATCAAATTAAAAAGGAAACTTTAAGCTTTAATTTGATATATAACTCGTTTCTTCCATTCTTTTAATTATTAAGTTATGATTTTTTAAAGTTAAAGCTGCATTTGGAAATTCTCAATTACAACTCAATTTTTAACTAATTTAAAAAAAATCGTAACTTAATGATTAATAAAATCGAGGAAACGAGTTATGCATCAAATTAAAAAGGGAGCTTTAAGCTTTAATTTGATATATAACTCGTTTCTTCCATTCTTTTAATTATTAAGTTATGATTTTTTAAAGTTAATGCTGCATTTAGCAATTCTCAAATACAACTCAATCAAAAAAAGATCATAACTTAATAACTAATAAAATTGAAGAAACGAGTTATGCATCAAATTAAAAAGAAAGCTTTAAGCTTTAATTTGGTATATAACTCATTTTTTTATCACCATAAATAAAGCCAAAATGATTTTTTAAAGTTAATGCTGTATTTGGCAATTCTCAATTTTTAACTAATATAAAAAAATCGTAACTTAATAATTAATAGGAGCTCAGAAAGGAGTTATATATCAAATTAAAAAGGAAGCTTTAAGCTTTAATTTGATGTAAAGCACATTTCTAAATTCCCATTAATTCGGCTCATACGCGTTTTAAAATTTGTTTTTACGTCATAAAAATTTTATGATTATTGAATATAAGAAATTATTTACTGCGGATTAAATCTCCATTAAATTTGCTTTAAGCTACTTTTTATTTCATAATGGTATCTCAATTAGTTGTTGAGATACGTAAAGGTTAATCACCCTAACATTTATGGTTAAGGTTACGCAAGGTTGCAATCAAAAAATCTTTACTTAAATATTTGAAAATTCGAAGACACGATATTCAGTACATTAAATACCAAACAAATTTGCTTTAAATTGCTTCTTATTTCATGATGATATCTCAATTCGTTCTTGAGATATTTAACTTTAAATTCTTAATTATTGCAAAAAACGTCGAATTTGATGCAATTAAAAGGGGCTATCTTAAGAACGAAAGATAATACGATAAAAAGTTACTCTTTATTTTCGATTTAAAATTCATTTTTCTACCGGAAATAGACCTTAAAGTTTTTGCAAAAAGCATCTCTATCAATTGAGAAATGAAATAATAAAAGTTAACTTCAGATCAAAGATGCAGAATGGAGTTTAAAAAATCATAACAACGATGTTTATGGAAAGTAAGAAATGATTCATGGGGCAAAGAATCTTCATAAAATTTGCTTTAAAATGGTATTTATTTCATGATGATATCTCAATTCGTTCTTGAGATACGATTTTTTTAATTTACCTTTTATCAACTCAACCTCGATAATGTCAAAATTGATTACAAAAATCGTATCTTTGGGATTTGTAAAAATGAAGGAATAATTCTTGGCGTGCTCAAACTAGATTAAATTTTCTCTTAAATGGTGTTTAAATTGTCTTGATATCTCAAGTACTTTTTGAGATATGATTTTTTGAAATTTGATGTTTATCTACTTAGCCCGTCATAACTGCATATATTAAAAAAATCGTAACATCAAAACTTGGAGAGATAGAAAAATGGTATTCTGAATACTAAATTTAAATTAAATTATCTTTAAAATGGTACTTATTTCATGGCGATATCTCAACTCGTTCTTGAGATACGATTTTTTTAAATTTATATTTCATCTGTAACAATCAAACATGCAAAGTTGGATTTAAAAAATCATATCTACGCCAAATATGAAAACGAAGAAATAATTTTTGGTACACTAAAACTAGATTAAATTTGCTTTAAAATGCTTCTTATCTCAATTTGATAACTCCGTTAGTTTTTGAGATACGATTTTTTAAAATTTATATTTCATATCTATAATAATCAAAAAGGGGTTGGATTTAAAAAATCATAACAACAATGTTTATGGAAATTAAGAAATTATTTTTGGCACATTAAATCTAGATCAAATTTGCTTTAAAATGGTACTTATTTCATGGCGATATCTTAATTCGTTCTTGAGATACGATTTCTTTAAATTTACATTTCATCTGGAACAATCAAACATGCAAAGTTGGATTTAAAAAATCATATCTCCGCCAAATATGAAAACGAAGAAAAAATGTTTGGTACACTAAAACTAGATTAAATTTGCTTTAAAATGCTTCTTATCTCAATTTGATACCGCGTTAGTTTTTGAGATACGATTTTTTTAAATTTATATTTCATATCGATAACAATTGAAAAGGGGTTGGATTTAAAAAATCATAACAACGATGTTTATGGAAATTAAGAAATTATTTTTGGCACATTAAATCTAGATCAAATTTGCTTTAAAATGATCTTTATTTCAACTCGATATCTCAATTCGTTCTTGAGATACGATTAATTAAAATTTACATTTCTCCAAATAACGAAGTTTTTGGAAAATTTAGCTTTTTGTAACGTCTAATGTAAAATAAGCTCATCAANCTCTATTCGTTCTTGAGATACGATTAATTAAAATTTACATTTCTCCAAAACCAAATTATTTGGAAAATTTAGCTTTTTGTACTGTCTAATGTAAAATAATCTCATCAAAATTCCTTCTTAATTTCGATTTAACAATTCTTTCTAGGAAATTATGAACGGAGATGTTAACCAAGGCATCGAACTCCAACCAGAAACCACATTAGAAGAAGCTAAACCCACTCATTCAGGCCACAAAGAAGGAGGAGGTCATGGTGGCCACAACGAAGACGATGAACCCATAGGGGACATCTTCATCCATCAAGCCATCCATACCATAGAATATGTATTGAGCACTGTGTCCCATACAGCTTCTTATCTCCGTTTATGGGCTTTATCTTTAGCTCACGCACGTAATTACAATAACAACGACAATAATGATTAAAATGAATTAAGTTTAACGTTTTTAATTTCGTTTTAGAGTTATCTGAAGTGTTGTGGAACATGGTGCTTCAAATGGGATTAGCCATATCGACTTATGTTGGAGGAGTTGTGCTTTTCTTCATTTTTGGGGCTTGGGCCGTCTTAACGGTGGCTATTTTGGTGATGATGGAGGGGTTGAGTGCCTTTTTGCACACTCTTCGTTTGCACTGGTAAATTAATTAATTGTTAAATATATAAGCGCGCCTCTTCCTGTCCATAGTCCAATTAATGTGGATGTGCAGTTCTGGTTCAATATTACACAATATCACACTTGGCTTGGCTTATTAGTTGTTAGTTATTAGTGAGAAAACATAAAAATGCGAAAACTTAATGAATTTTGTTGTTTTACTTGCTCTTAATGGTGACATTTGGGAATCGGAGCATGTTATCAAAAAACTTTTAAAACAAAAGTTGTAGCAAATTTTGTTATTAACAATATTGCTCTCTTGTATTTTTGCTCTCAGATCCGTCAATATTGAGAAAAATCCAAAAATTTAAAAATTTGATGAATTTCCTTGTTTTACTATCAGCTAATGGTAACATTTGGGAATTGAAGCATGTCATCAAAAAACTTTTAGAACAAAAGTTGTTGCAATTTTTGTTCTTAACAATATTGCTCTTTTGTATTTTTGCTCTCAGATGCGTCAATATCGAGAAAAATACGAAAATATGAAAATTTGACGAATTTTTTGTTTTATTAGTGTTAATGGTAACATTTGTGAATCGGAGCACGTTATCAAAAAACATTTATAATAAAAGTTGTAGCAAATCTTGTTCTTAACAATATTGCTCTCTTGTATATTTGCTCTCAGATGCGTCAATATTGAGAAAAATACGAAAATTAAAAAATTTGATGAATTTCTTTGTTTTACTATTAGTTAATGGTAACATTTGGGAATCGAAGCATGTTATCAAAAAACTTTTAGAACAAAAGTTGTTGCAAATTTTGTTATTAACAATATTGCTCTCTTGTATATTTGCTCTCAGATGCGTCAATATTGAGAGAAATACGAAAATTTTAAAATTTGATGCATTTCCTTGTATTACTATTAGCTAATGGTAACATTTAGGAATCGGAGCATGTTATCAAAAAACTTTTAGAACAAAAGTTGTTGCAAATTTTGTTATTAACAATATTGCTCTCTTGTATATTTGCTCTCAGATGCGTCAATATTGAGAGAAATACGAAAATTTTAAAATTTGATGCATTTCCTTGTATTACTATTAGCTAATGGTAACATTTAGGAATCGGAGCATGTTATCAAAAAACTTTTAGAACAAAAGTTGTTGCAAATTTTGTTATTAACAATATTGCTCTCTTGTATATTTGCTCTCAGATGCGTCAATATTGAGAGAAATACGAAAATTTTAAAATTTGATGCATTTCCTTGTATTACTATTAGCTAATGGTAACATTTAGGAATCGGAGCATGTTATCAAAAAACTTTTAGAACAAAAGTTGTTGCAAATTTTGTTATTAACAATATTGCTCTCTTGTATATTTGCTCTCAGATGCGTCAATATTGAGAGAAATACGAAAATTTTAAAATTTGATGCATTTCCTTGTATTACTATTAGCTAATGGTAACATTTAGGAATCGGAGCATGTTATCAAAAAACTTTTAGAACAAAAGTTGTTGCAAATTTTGTTATTAACAATATTGCTCTCTTGTATATTTGCTCTCAGATGCGTCAATATTGAGAGAAATACGAAAATTTTAAAATTTGATGCATTTCCTTGTATTACTATTAGCTAATGGTAACATTTAGGAATCGGAGCATGTTATCAAAAAACTTTTAGAACAAAAGTTGTTGCAAATTTTGTTATTAACAATATTGCTCTCTTGTATATTTGCTCTCAGATGCGTCAATATTGAGAGAAATACGAAAATTTTAAAATTTGATGCATTTCCTTGTATTACTATTAGCTAATGGTAACATTTAGGAATCGGAGCATGTTATCAAAAAACTTTTAGAACAAAAGTTGTTGCAAATTTTGTTATTAACAATATTGCTCTCTTGTATATTTGCTCTCAGATGCGTCAATATTGAGAGAAATACGAAAATTTTAAAATTTGATGCATTTCCTTGTATTACTATTAGCTAATGGTAACATTTAGGAATCGGAGCATGTTATCAAAAAACTTTTAGAACAAAAGTTGTTGCAAATTTTGTTATTAACAATATTGCTCTCTTGTATATTTGCTCTCAGATGCGTCAATATTGAGAGAAATACGAAAATTTTAAAATTTGATGCATTTCCTTGTATTACTATTAGCTAATGGTAACATTTAGGAATCGGAGCATGTTATCAAAAAACTTTTAGAACAAAAGTTGTTGCAAATTTTGTTATTAACAATATTGCTCTCTTGTATATTTGCTCTCAGATGCGTCAATATTGAGAGAAATACGAAAATTTTAAAATTTGATGCATTTCCTTGTATTACTATTAGCTAATGGTAACATTTAGGAATCGGAGCATGTTATCAAAAAACTTTTAGAACAAAAGTTGTTGCAAATTTTGTTATTAACAATATTGCTCTCTTGTATATTTGCTCTCAGATGCGTCAATATTGAGAGAAATACGAAAATTTTAAAATTTGATGCATTTCCTTGTATTACTATTAGCTAATGGTAACATTTAGGAATCGGAGCATGTTATCAAAAAACTTTTAGAACAAAAGTTGTTGCAAATTTTGTTATTAACAATATTGCTCTCTTGTATATTTGCTCTCAGATGCGTCAATATTGAGAGAAATACGAAAATTTTAAAATTTGATGCATTTCCTTGTATTACTATTAGCTAATGGTAACATTTAGGAATCGGAGCATGTTATCAAAAAACTTTTAGAACAAAAGTTTTTGCAAATTTTGTTATTAACAATATTGCTCTCTTGTATATTTGCTCTCAGATGCGTCAATATTGAGAGAAATACGAAAATTTTAAAATTTAACTAATTTTTTGTTTTACTAGTGTTAATGGTAACATTTGAGAATCGGACTACTTTATCAAAAAACTTTTAAAACAAAAGTTGTAGCAAATTTTGTTCTGAGGAATATTGCTCTCTTGTATTTTTGCTCTCAGATGCGTCAATATTGAGAAAAACACGAAACTTTAAAAATTTGATGAATTTCCTTATTTTACTAGTAGCTCATGGTAATATTCGGGAATCGAAGCATGTTATCAAAAAACTTTTAAAACACAAGTTGTAGCAAATCTTGTTCTTTACAATATTGTTCTCTTTCACTTTTCCTCTCAGATATGTTAATATCGAGAAAAATACGAAAATATGAAAATTTAACTAATTTTTTGTTTTACTAGCGTTAATGGTAACATTTGAGAATCGGAGTACGTTATCAAAAAACTNTAGTCCAATTAATGTGGATGTGCAGTTCTGGTTCAATATTACACAATATCACACTTGGCTTGGCTTATTAGTTGTTAGTTATTAGTGAGAAAACATAAAAATGCGAAAACTTAATGAATTTTGTTGTTTTACTTGCTCTTAATGGTGACATTTGGGAATCGGAGCATGTTATCAAAAAACTTTTAAAACAAAAGTTGTAGCAAATTTTGTTATTAACAATATTGCTCTCTTGTATTTTTGCTCTCAGATCCGTCAATATTGAGAAAAATCCAAAAATTTAAAAATTTGATGAATTTCCTTGTTTTACTATCAGCTAATGGTAACATTTGGGAATTGAAGCATGTCATCAAAAAACTTTTAGAACAAAAGTTGTTGCAATTTTTGTTCTTAACAATATTGCTCTTTTGTATTTTTGCTCTCAGATGCGTCAATATCGAGAAAAATACGAAAATATGAAAATTTGACGAATTTTTTGTTTTATTAGTGTTAATGGTAACATTTGTGAATCGGAGCACGTTATCAAAAAACATTTATAATAAAAGTTGTAGCAAATCTTGTTCTTAACAATATTGCTCTCTTGTATATTTGCTCTCAGATGCGTCAATATTGAGAAAAATACGAAAATTAAAAAATTTGATGAATTTCTTTGTTTTACTATTAGTTAATGGTAACATTTGGGAATCGAAGCATGTTATCAAAAAACTTTTAGAAGAAAAGTTGCTGCAAATTTTGTTATTAACAATATTGCTCTGTTGTATATTTGCTCTCAGATACGTCAATATCGAGAAAAATACGAAAATATGAAAATTTAACTAATTTTTTGTTTTACTAGCGTTAATGGTAACATTTGAGAATCGGAGTACGTTATCAAAAAACTTTTAAAACAAAAGTTGTAGCAAATTTTGTTCTGAGGAATATTGCTCTCATATATTTTTGCTCTCAGATGCGTCAATATTGAGCAAAATACAAAAATTCAAAAATTTGATAAATTTCGTTCTTTTACTATTAGCTCATGGTAACATTCGGGAATCGAAGTATGTTATAAAAAAACCTTTAAACAAAAGTTGTAGCAAATTTTGTTATTAACAATATTGCTCTCTTTCACTTAAAAATACGGAAATATGAAAATTTGATAAATTTGTTGCTTTTTCAAGTAATTGTAATAATCGGGAATCGAAGTATGTTATAAAAAAACTATTAGAACAAAAGTTGTAGCAAATTTTGTTCTTAACAATATTGCTCTCTTTCACTTTTGCTCTCAGATGCGTCAATATCGAAAAAAATACGGAAATATGAAAATTTGATAAATTTGTTGCTTTTTAAAGTAATTTTAATAATCGGGAATCGAAGTATGTTATAAAAAAACTATTAGAACAAAAGTTGTAGCAAATTTTGTTCTTAACAATATTGCTCTCTTGTATATTTGCGCTCAGATTCATCAAAATCGATAAAAATACGAAAATATGAAATTTTGAAAAATTCGTTATTTTACTAGTCTGTTTTTAAATTAGGTGGAGCATTTTAAATTTCTCACCAGATTGACCTTGCACGTGATTGGTTGAATACCAGGAAAAAGTTTCACACACAGGCAATTTTGAATTTTGATTTTGTAAATAAATAATAAATACACTCATAACATCAATGTTAATTTGTATGTTTAGTGTTGACGATAACAAACGAAAATAAATACACTAATAAGTAATAAAACAAATAATAATACTTATTAATTTAAATTTACCGCTAAAATATCTAGTGATATTTTCTGGTGATATTTCCTAGTGTAAATCTGACTTTCGGATTCACTCGTCCAAGTTTAAAAACAGACTATAGCAGACAATGGTAGCACTCGGGAAACGGAGCATTTCATAAAAAAACTTTTAAAACAAAAGTTGTAGCAAATTTTATTCTTACCAATATTGCTCTATTCTACTCTTGCTCTCAGATGCATCAATATCGAGAAAAATACGAAAATTTAAAAATTTGATAAATTTCTTTGTTTTACTATTAGTTAATGGTAACATTTGTGAATTGAAGCATGTTATCAAAAACCTTTTAGAACAAAAGTTGTTGCAAATTTTGTTATTAACAATATTGTTCTGTTGTATATTTGCTCTCAGATGCGTCAATATTGAAAAAAATACGAAAATTTAGAAATTTGATCAATTTCTTTGTTTTACTATCAGTTAATGGTAACATTTGTGAATTGAAGCATATCAAAAAACTTTTAGAACAAAAGTTGTTGCCAATTTTGTTATTAACAATATTGCTCTCTTGTATATTTGCTCTCAGATGCGTCAATATTGAGAAAAATACGAAAATTTAATAATGTTATGAATTTCTTTGTTTACTATTAGTTAATGGTAGCATTTGTGAATTGAAGCATGTTATCAAAAAACTTTCTGCACAAAAGTTGTTACAAATTTTGTTATTAACAATATTGCTCTCTTGTATATTTGCTCTCAGATGCGTCAATATTGAGAAAAATACGAAAATTTGATGAATTTTCTTGTTTTACTATCAGCTAATGGTATCATTTGGGAATCGGACCATCTTATCAAAAAACTTTTATAACAAAAGTTGTAGCAAATTTTGTTCTTAACAATATTGCTCTGTTGTACATTTGCTCTCAGATGCGTCAATATTGAAAAAAATACGAATATTTAAAAATTTAATGAATTTCCTTGTTTTACTATTAGCTCATGGTAACATTTGGGAATCGGAGCATGTTATCAAAAAACTTTTAGAACAAAAGTTGTTGCAAATTTTGTTCCTAACAATATTGCTCTGTTGTATATTTGCTCTCAGATACGTCAATATCGAGAAAAATACGAANGATGAATTTCTTTGTTTTACTATTAGTTAATGGTAACATTTGGGAATCGAAGCATGTTATCAAAAAACTTTTAGAAGAAAAGTTGCTGCAAATTTTGTTATTAACAATATTGCTCTGTTGTATATTTGCTCTCAGATGCGTCAATATTGAAGAAAATACGAAAATTTAAAAATTTGATGAATTTCCTTCTTTTATTATTAGCTAATGGTAACATTTGGAAATCGGAACATGTTATCAAAAAACTTTTAGAACAAAAGTTGTTGCAAATTTTGTTATTAACAATATTGCTCTCTTGTATACTTGCTCTCAGATGCGTCAATATTGAGAAAAATACGAAAATTTAAAAATTTGATGAATTTCCTTGTTTTTACTATCAGCTAATGGTAACATTCGGGAATTGAAGCATGTTATCAAAAAACTTTTTGAACAAAAGTTGTAGCAAATTTTGTTCTTAACAATATTGTTCTCTTGTATATTTGCTCTCAGATACGTCAATATCCAGAAAAATACGAAAATATGAAAATTTGACGAATTTCCTTGTTTTACTATTAGCTAATGGTAACATTCGGGAATCAAAGCATGTTACAAAAATATTGTTAGAACAAAAGATGTAGTAAAATGTATTCTTAACAATATTGCTCTCTTTCACTTTTGCTCTCAGATACGTCAATATTCAGAAAAATACGAAAATATGAAAATTTGACGAATTTTTTGTTTTATTATTATTATTATTATTTACCATTCATTGCCACAGACAAAATTACATAAGATACACTTAACTTAAACACTTAACTTAAACAGTAAGCAGTATCAGCAAATGGATCATTTTATCGCACAAGCGATCTCTGCCAAATGACCCAACAGAACAAACAAAAATAAAAATAATATTTACTGAATATGGCAAGTAGTGATAATTAGATATTATTAACATCATCAAATAAGATTAAGTAAGAAAAGAAAAACAAAGAGAAAAATAAAGAAATGACACGAAAAGAGAGATAGAGAGCGGCTAAAAGAATCTAAAAGAATATGCCGGATATCAGTTGCCAACAAGTGAGAGCAGTTGAAGAGAGGAAAAAAGAGAAAGACAACGAACAAAGAATCAGGAAACAGCCAGTTTTACTAGTGTTAATGGTAACACTTGTGAAATGAAGCATGTTATCAAAAAACTTTTAGAACAAAAGTTGTTGCAAATTTTGTTATTAGCAATATTGCTCTCTTGTATTTTTGCTCTCAGATGCGTCAATATTGAAAAAAATACGAAAATTTAAAAATTTTATGAATTTTCTTGTTTTACTATTAGCTAATGGTAACATTTGTGAATTGAAGCATGTTATCAAAAAACTTTTAGAACAAAAATTGTTGCAAATTTTGTTATTAACAATATTGCTCTCTTATATTTTTGCTCTCAGATGCATCAATTTTGAGAAAAATACGAAAATTCAAAAATTTTATGAATTTTTTGTTTAATTATTAGCTAATGGTAACATTTGGCAATTGGAGCATGTTATCCAAAAACGGTTAAAACAAAAGTTGTTGCAAATATTGTTATTAACAATATTGCTCTCTTGTATATTTGCTCTCAGATGCGTCAATATTCAAGAAAATACGAAAATTTAAAAATTTGATGAATTTCTTTGTTTTACTATTAGTTAATGGTAACATTTGGGAATCGAAGCATGTTATCAAAAAACTTTTAGAAGAAAAGTTGCTGCAAATTTTGTTATTAACAATATTGCTCTGTTGTATATTTGCTCTCAGATGCGTCAATATTGAGAAAAATACGAAAATTTAAAAACTTGATAAATTTTTTTGTTTTACTATTAGTTAATGGTAACATTTGTGAATCGGAGCATGTTATCAAAAAACTTTTAAAACAAAAGTTGTAGCAAATTTTGTTATTAACAATATTGCTCTGTTGTATATTTGCTCTCAGATACGTCAATATCGAGAAAAATACGAAAATATGAAAATTTGACAAATTTTTTGTTTTACTATTATCTAATGGTAACATTTGGGAATCGGAGCATGATATCAAAAAACTTTTAACACAGAAGTTGTAGCAAACTTTGTTCTGAGGAATATTGCCCTCATACATTTTTGCTCTCAGATGCGTCAATATTGAAAAAAATACAAAAATTTAAAAATTTGATGAATTTCCTTGTTTTACTATTAGCTAATGGTAATAACATTCGGGAATTGAAGCATGTTATCAAAAAACTTTTTGAACAAAAGTTGTTGCAAATTTTGTTGTTAACAATATTGCTCTCTTGTATATTTGCTCTCAGATACGTCAATATCCAGAAAAATACGAAAATATGAAAATTTGATGAATTTCGTTGTTTTACAAATTGTTAATGATAATTGCTCTCTCGTACATTTGCTCTTAGCATATATTTTTAACAGTAGTGTTTAGCGTTCTGGAAGCAATAAGTATTAGTTTGAAAACAGTATCTAGTCTTTTCCAAGCAAGTTGTTGCCTTTTTCTGCAATATCTAGCATTTTAGAAGCGGTAGGTAACTTTTTGAAATAGTATTTCTTCTTTCCAAGCACTTAGTAGTGTTTTGGCAACAATATTCATCATTCTGAAAGTAGCTAATAGTCTTTTGGAAATATTATCTTACTTTTCCAAGAAGATAATACTTTCTGCCAGCAACATTTAGTATTCTCCAAGCAAGTCCTAATCTTTTCAAGTAGTATTTAGCATTCTGACAGCATTAGGTAGCTTTTTGGCAATACATATCTCATCTTTCCAAGCAGTTATTAGTCTTTTCCAGCAATATCTAACATTCTAGATAGGTAGCAATTTCCCACTCCTCCTATCCACAGTCCATATTTTCCTTCCAGTTGCATATTTATAATCTTTGTTTTGTATTTTTTATTTAGGGTCGAGTTCATGAGCAAATTCTACGAGGGTCTGGGATATCCCTTTCAGCCGTTCAGTTTCAAGTTGATTATGGAGGAAGATTCGGAACCCGCGGATTAAAACTCCAAGAGATGCCTTAATATCGTAGTAAATAAAATAGTTTATAGTTGTTGATGAAAAAAATGAATTAAATAGAAATTTATTTGCAATACGAAATAAGACGATGTTTTTATTTCCTTATTCAGATTATTTTCGGGTTATTTAAGGCGACTTAATGACTCTGCTTAATGAGGTGACACGCTCTTTGGCTCTATTACGTGATTTACATTGAAATTTCAAGATAACTCCTCACCTAAAGCTAAAAAATTTAATTCATCACAAAACTAATGGTAACATTCGGGAATCGAAGCATGTTACAAAAAAACTTTTAGAACTAAAGTTGTTGCTAATTTCATTCTTAACAATAATGCTCTGTTGTACATTTGCTCTCAGATATGTCAATATTGAGAAAAATACGAAAATTTAAAAATTTTACGATTTTTTTTGTTTTACTATTAGCTAATGGTAACATTTGGGAATCGGAGCATGCTATCAAAAAACTTTTAGAACAAAAGTTGTAGCAAATTTTGTTCGTAACAATATTGCTGTTTTGTATATTTGCTCTTAGATTCGTCAATATTGAGAAATATACAAAAATTCAAAAATTTGATGATTTTCCTTGTTTTACTATTAGCTAATGGTAACATTCGGGAATCGAAGCATGCTACAAAAATACTTTTAGAACAAAAGTTGTAACAAATTTTGTTCTTAAGAATATTGCTCTCTTTCACTTTTGCTCTCAAATACGTCAATATCGAGAAAAATACGAAAATATGAAAATTTGACAAATTTTTTGTTTTACTAGTGTTAATGATAACATATGGGAATCGGAGCATCTTATCAAAAAACTTTTATAACAAAAGTTGTAGCAAATTTTGTTCTTAACAATATTGCTCTGTTGTATATTTGCTCTCAGATGCGTCAATATAGAGAAATATACGAAAATATGAAAATTTGATGAATTTTTTGCTTTACTAGTGTTAATGATATCATTTGGGAATCGGAGCATGTTATAAAAAAAATTTTATAACAAAAGTTGTAGCAAATTTTATTCTTAATAATATTGCTCTTTTGTATATTTGCTCTTAGATTCGTCAATATTGAGAAATATACAAAAATTTAAAAATTTGATGGTTGCCTTATTTTACTATTAGCTAATGGTAACATTTGGGAATTGAAGCATGTTACAAAAAAACTTTTAGAACTAAAGTTGTTGCTAATTTCATTCTTAACAATAATGCTCTGTTGTACATTTGCTCTCAGATATGTCAATATTGAGAAAAATACGAAAATTTAAAAATTTTACGATTTTTTTTGTTTTACTATTAGCTAATGGTAACATTTGGGAATCGGAGCATGTTACAAAAAAACTTTTAGAACTAAAGTTGCAGCAAATTTTATTCTTAACAATATTGCTCTGTTGTACATTTGCTCACAGATGCGTCAATATTGAGATAAATACGAAAATATGAAAATTTGACGAATTGTTTGTTTTACTAGTGTTAATGGTAACATTTGGGAATCGGAGTATCTTATCAAAAAACTTTTATAACAAAAGTTGTAGCAAATTTTATTCTTAACAATATTGCTCTGTTGTATATTTGCTCTCAGATGCGTCAATATTGAGATAAATACGAACATTTAAAAATTTGATGAATTTTCTTGTTTTACTATTAGTTAATGGTAACATTTGGGAATCGGAGCATGTTATCAAAAAACCTTTAAAAACAAAAGTTGTTGCAAGTTTTGTTATTAACAATATTGCTCTCTTGTATATTTGCTCTCAGGTACGTCGATATTGAGATAAATACGAAAATATGAAAATTTGACGAATTTTTTGTTTTACTAGTGTTAATGGTAACATTTGGGAATCGGAGCACGTTATCAAAAAACATTTATAACAAAAAATGCTGCAAATTTGATTGTTAACAATATTGCTCTCTTGCACTTTTGCTCTTAGATACGTGAATATCGAGATAGATACGAAAATTTGATGAATTTGTTACTCTTACAAGATATTAACGGTAAAAAGTAATTAAATTTAATTTTCTTAGTATTGTACTTTTGAAACTGGTTTTATTAATTAATTAAGTCTTACTAGTTTCGGCCCATGGCCATCTTCAAGTTCATAAATGTAATTATTCAAATAAACTTCTTTTAAATTTAAGACGAAATAACAAGTTCAAATTGAAGAACGTTCTTCAATTTAACCTTTTTGTGAACTCTTCTAAAAGTAGTCTCTGAAGATGGCCATGGGCCGAAACTAGTAAGACTTAATTAATTAATAAAACCAGTTTCAAAAGTACAATGCTGGTAAAATTAAATTTAATTACCTTTTCACGAATTAAATAACTGGTAAAATGGATTTTGATTATAATTATCTATTAAAGGTAACACTTGAGAATCGGACCTTGCTATAAGAAAACTTTTATAACAAAACTTGTAGCACATTTTGTTCTTAACAAAATTGTTCTCTTTTACTTTTGCTCTCAGATGTGTCAATATCGAGAAAACACAAAAATGCGAAAATTAAATGAATTTTGTTACTTTACTTACTATTAATGGTAATATTTCGGAATCGAAGCATGTTACAAAAAGCTTTTAGAACAAAAGTTGTTGCTAATTTTATTCTTAACAATATTGCTCTCTTGTACATTTGCTGTCAGATGCGTCAATATTGAGAAAAATACAAAAATATGAAAGTTTTATGTTTTTCGTTGTTTTACTAGTAATTAATGGTAGCACTCGAAAATCGGAGCATGATACAAAAAAACTCTTAGAACAAAAGTTGTAGCAAATTTTACTCTTACCAATATTGCTCTGTTGTATTTTGCTCTCAGAAGCATTAATATTGAGAAAAATAAGAAAATATGAAAATTTGATGAATTCGTTGTTTTACTAGAGTTAATGGTAGAAACAAGATACTGTTAATTGCATTCTGGATTTGCATGCGGAAGACTACTTCTTGCTTCAAGAAGGCTAAATGCTGCTGGTAGAAACATCATACTGTTAATAGCATTCTGGATTTGCATATAGAACACTATTTATTGCTTCTAGAAGGCTAAATACTGCTGAAAGAAGCAAGATACTGTTAAGAGAATTCCGAATCTGCTTGCAAAAGGTTACTTATTGCTTCCAGAAGGCTAAATATTGCAGGCAGAAGTAAAATACTTTTAATAGAATTTTGGATCTGCTTCCAAAAGACTACTTATTTCTTCCAGAAGGCTAAATACTGTTGGTAGAAACAAGATACTGTTAATAGCATTCTGGATTAGAATAAAAGTTGTAGCAAATTTTGTTCTTAATAATATTGCACTCTTGTATATTTGCTCGCAGATTCGTCAATATTGAGAAAAATATAAAAATTTGATCAATTTCCTTGTTTTACGATTAGCTAATGGTAACATTCGGGAATCGAAGCATGTTACAAAAATACTTTTAGAGCAAAAGTTGTAGCAAATTTTGTTCTTAATAATATTGCTCTCTTGTATTTTTGTTCTCAGATGCGTCAATATTGAAAAAAATACAAAAATTTAAAAATTTTATGAATATCCTTGTTTTACTATTAGCTAATGGTAACATTCGGGAATTGAAGCATGTTATCAAAAAACTTTTAGAACAAAAGTTGTTGTTAATTTTATTCTTAACAATATTGCTCTCTTTCATTTTTGCTTTCAGATACGTCAATATCGAGAAAAATACGAAAATATGAAAATTTGACGAATTTTTTGTTTTACTAGTGTTAATGGTAACATTTGGGATACGGAGAATGTTATCAAAAAACTTTTAGAACAAAAGTTGTTGCTAATCTTATTCTTAATAATATTGTTCTCTTGTACATTTGCTCTCAAATGCGTCAATACCGAGAAAAATACGAAAATTTTAAAATTTTATGCACTTTCTTGTTTTACTATTAGCTAATGGTAACATTCGGGAATTGAAGCATGTTATCAAAAACTGCAAGAACAAAAGTTGTAGCAAATTTTGTTCGTAACAATATTGCTCTCTTGTATATTTGCTCTCAGATACGTCAATATTGAGAAAAATACGAAAATATGAAAATTTGACGAGTTTCTTTGTTTTACTTGATCTTAATGGTAACATTTGCGAATCGGAGCATGTTATAAAAAAACTTTTAGAACAAAAGTTGTTGCTAATCTTATTCTTAACAACATTGCTCTCTTGTATATTTGCTCTCAGATTTGTCAATATTGAGAAAAGACAAAAATTTGATGAGTTTCCTTGTTATACTATTAGCTAATGGTAACATTCGGGAATCGAAGCATGTTACAAAAATACTTTTGGAACAAAAGTTGTAGCAAGTTTTATTCTTAACAATATTACTCTCTTACACTTTTGCTCTCAGGCGTAGATATATCGAGAAAAATATAAAAATGTGAAAATATGACGAATCCGTGTCATTGATTTTATTTGAACCCATGAGATCAGCGAACATGTCTTTTAATCTTCACACATAAGTGACTTAAGTCACCTTGTGTAACATCAAATGAGCGAGTAAATATTGGCAGGCAGACTAACCAGAAGGGTTCTCTTGAACACGCAAGACACAATCAAATATATAACCTGTAAAACATGCCTTTGACCAAAGCAAACCACAGTTTCTACCTCTTCCGACAAATACACAGTGTAACCACTTCATGACCAACCTCAGTTATCCAAACGCAACCGCATGTTGCATTACTCTTGGGTGATTTTAATAGCCGTCATGAGCAGTGAAGAAATTATCGAAGAACCTTGATAAGTGCCTAAAGTTGATATCAACAAACAGCAAAAAGTACTGTTTGGAAGGTCCAAGGAGTGCATCCCCTGTGGATATCGGAGAGATGTCTCAGGATGATGTGAAAACAGCGATAACCTTTGTCAAAGCTTCGAAACCTTGAAAAGTTGGTGCAGTGCTTAGGGAAATCACGACAGGAAAGACACTCGACAGAATGAACCCAGACTAATCTTAATAAATAACGGAAAAAAATCTTTGGCTAGCCAGATTCTTTAATGATTTGACGAATTAGTTGTTGCTTGTAAATGGTTGATGGTAACGCTAGAGCATCTGTGCAAATTTCATTCTTACCAATATTGCTCTTTTATAGTCTTGCTCT